ATCGACTTAAATCAGTATTTTCTCGTTTGAAATATCCTGATAATCTAGTCAATTCTACCATTTCACGGTTTGTTGCCGCCAAAGTATCTGATCAACCAGTTTCCTTACCTGCTGTCAGCGATCGATCGGACCCCATTCGCGTTGTCCTACCGTATAAGGATCAGGCATCCGCTGATATTGTTCGTGCCCAACTTAAAGATCTAAGTCATAGGATCCAGACGACCTTACAAACTGTATTGGTTAGCCGGAAGATTTGTCGATACCTCAAATTGCGAGAAGCTAAGCCGCCGATTGTGAACCAACAGTGCATTGTTTAGAAATTTCAATGTGACCTGTGCGATGCAGGTTATGTTGGTTTCACACACCGTCATCTACACCAACGTATTGAAGAACATAAAAACTCCTCTTCGTCAATTGGCAAATATTTTCGCGACAAACATTCTTTGACTCCAAAGGATCTTACAAAGAACTTTAGCACTTTAATGAAGTGCAAGAACAAATTTGACTGTCTCGTCTATGAAATGTTTTTTATTCACAAGCTAAGACCTGCTCTCAATGTACAGTCTGATTCAATTCGTGCTAAGGTTTTTAATTAGCTTTTTACTAGCACTTTCTTTGTAGTTTTATTGTTTGTTTCCACCTGCAAAAAAATTTTTTTATTTCTTACGTGCATATATACAAATATTTACTGTATTTCATTCCATTCACTTGACAATGACCGAAGCACGGTCGAAACGTCGTGTTTTACCGTTCATTTTTATCGTCAAAAGTTTTAAAAAACCCTTGCTTATAAGATACCTATGTTATTTCATATAATTTCCATTTCATTTTACGTGTAAGGTGTTTATCAATTCTTGCCTATGTTTCCATTTATTTGTTTTTCTGTTTCATCACATTTTAATCACAATCTATATCGCTGCTCGCTGATAATTTTCCAATCCAGACAATACCGTTTTTTTTTTTTCTGCATGTACTCCATTAGTTTATTATTCTAGCTTTCAGAAATTGTGCTGGATCTTTAAATTGGGCGACAAAAGAGACGGGGTACACGTCATCAAACCTGACAGTCAATCAGCATTTGACGTCTTCTGCGACCAAACAACAGCAGGTGGAGGATGGACAGTCTTCCAAAGAAGAATCAGTGGTTCAGTCGATTTCGACCTCAACTGGACCGATTATAAGCATGGCTTTGGAAATTTCAGCGCTGAATTTTGGCTTGGCTTGGACAAGATTCATCGCCTGACCTCAGATAATAACAGCGTGTTGCGAGTAGACTTGGAAGACTTCGACGGGAGGACTGTTTACGCCGAGTACAGCTTGTTTGGTGTCAGGAGTGAACTTGACAAGTACCGTTTAATCCTTGGTTCTTACACAGGTGACTGAAACAATTTAAATTTACTTCCCGCCTTTAGAGGCTAGAGAGATCGTTTTATCTTTTATTTAACTAGTTGTCTTCGAAGCCATTTTGGTCTCCACGGCATTGTTGCATTTATATTTTTCCTGGTGAATTGAGTTCAAACAAGCCTTTGTGCAGAATCGAGGCTTCATAGGCGCGGAAGGAGATGTAAGAAACTTTAACCTAAATGTTACAGTACAGCATATATAGATTCTAACTTTAATACTTTACTTCTTTTGCTGTGGTAAATTTCTTAGGAACCGCTGGTGACTCCTTCTCTTACCATAACGGCTGGCCATTTTCTACTCCGGATCAAGAGAATGACTTCAACCCCACTGGAAACTGTGCCATTGAGTTCGAAGGAGGCTGGTGGTTTAAGTGGTGTCACAGGGCTTTCTTAAATGGTCCTTATATACGTGGGCCCAACTCTAAATTCGCCGAAGGCAATATTTGGGAACATTTTCGAGGTGTTCACTATTCACTGAAAAGCTCTCAGATGAAAATAAGACCGCGAGACTTTTGAACCACTGAACTGCACTTGCTCTTACGTAGCATGAATTTTGTACAAAAGCTTTTTTTTAACAAAGTAGATGGTTAAATTCAGTATTATTAGCGATGTAAAACCACAGGTGAAAAATCAGAGCACTCCTATGAATATAAGACTGCAACAGTACACGGAGTCATTCAGTATTTTAAGCGACATAGGGGATAATCAGACCTTCTGTTATTAAATTATCAAGCTTGTACCCGAGTCTTTTGGAAAGTAAATGTAGGGAACTTTTATCTTGGCAGTGACGTTTATTACGAACACAAAAGCCGAAAGCTGATCTCAGATTAATCGACACCAGGGGAGGGTGAGATAGAAAAAAAAAATTGCGAAATATTTCCAATTTATAGCAACCGCTAACATCGTTGCATGAACGGTCTAGAAGGAGACAGAAAATGACTAACACGTACCGTCTGCCATTTGCGTGAACGCTGAACCAAACCTAAAAAAAAGATTCCACCAAAGGTCGCCCTCGAATAGATTTTATAATCACTGCTTGGTCGCGACTATTGTGATCTTAATTTACAAGCATTTCGAGTAGGTGACATGACTCATTCTTTCAAATAAGCTTTATAGAGGCTTGAATATCAAATGAGCGTCTACAACATTAGCCTAAATTTTTCGAGCTAGCCATTACCAACTCGTTTCAATTTTCAACATCCTTAACAATTCTCGTTCGTATATGGTAAATTATCCTCGATTTTCTTTTTTTTTTTTCCGTCTTTACCAAACTAATATGTTTTGGTTTCCTTGATACGAACGCTAATTTTGTACACTATACAAAACGGCTGTAATTTTTTTTTAAGTTTATGATTTAAAATCCAAGGCAACTTCTCCATTCTTCCCCATCCTCGTTTGTTTTCGGTTAAGTCTTCTTGTTTTGCTGGTTTTCTATTTCCTTCACGCAAATAGGTAATTTGTACATTATACAAAATGACTGACATTTTTCAAGTTTATCATCCTAAGACCCACACCAATCTTTTCCATCCTCAATTAATCATCCCTTTATTTATTTTAATTTTGCCTCTCCGTTTTGTTTTTAGACAGAGAGACAATTATTTTTTTACTTCTGTTCTTTAAAAGTTTCAATCAACATCAGTTTTTAGCGAAACCAGAACAATCAAAATGTACTGATAGACATAACTTGTCAAATGTTCCGTCATGACTCAAATGTGTTCTTTGAGATTGTTACGCACAAAGTGTGACGCAAAGACACAAATCATGTTGTATGTCAACACAATGTTGGTGTCTTCCGTCTTATTCTAAAGGATATTACTCAAGTATGGCGAAATTGGAACATTTTAAATATTCTTGTCACGTGACACGCAGATGTCTCCAAAATTAGCAACCTCTCAGGCTAATGAAAAATAAATGCTAAGGTTTCATGAAAGCAACTCTATACGCCACGGCAATTTTAACCAATTTTTTAACGCTTCTGATAGGACAGTAAATAAGTATGTTATTCGGTCAAATACAATGGTAAAATTAATCTTAGTTATCAAGCCTTAGGTGATCATTCTCAAATCTTTAGGATCAGAATATATTCCGTACAAATAAACAAAACATGCTTTTATTTTAAGCTTAAAATTGATGGTACAAGTACTAGTTACGCAATTTAACTTTAGTGTATTTGAGCTGAGCGGGAAATTCATATAAAAGTTAATTTTCATTTCTGAAAGGTTAGACATCAATTGTTTCCTGCATCTCTTTTGTTTCCCCGCAGTTGCATTTATCCGATGGTCATCCTTTCCTTTGTCGTCATTTCCTATTGAAATCGTAACATCACATTAGTAAGTCGGTTTTTCGATAAATCAATTAAGATATCCACCTTAAGATGTATTGTATACTGCTAGAAACCTCTTGATAAGCTAAATTTTGGATAAGTGAAATAAAATTAATAGCCGTATGGACTATCAGTTAAATGTACCAAAACATTTAATAACGTGTTATCGTAAACGGTCGAGTATAAGGTGCATAAGGGGTTTTTGCACCTCAACTCTCCTCGGGCTGATTTATCAATTTTTCCAAATTGAGATCTTTGATAAGGTTCTTTAATTGGAGTTTTTGAACCAATTATATGCACTTTATAAATTGAAGCTTGACATCTAGATTATTTACCGCATCATCCTACAGGATGCGTACCGCTTAAATAAGCAAAGAATTATCGAAGAAGATTTTTCCAAATTATTTGTTTCGTTATTAGATAAATGCAAAGTATTTCGTAATTTGCCTCTTTTACATCAGTTTGCTGTGTAAAGTTTATTTATTCCAATTTGTTTCTTAAGAATTTTTTTTATCCTGTAATTTTTTATCAGGATGTGCCGTTTACTAAAGTAGCTACTTCTATTTTTTTCAAACTTTTCTAGCTATCGGCTCAGAATACGATCAACAGTTCCCTTTTACATCTCACTTACAGTTGACATTTTCCACTAGCAGAAGGATTTTTCCTCCGTGAAAGACCCAAACTTTCTTTTCAAATGATAAGCCTGTCAGTTATTCATAAAATTACGTAATAATGTTCGAGTAACTTAATTGCAGCACCTGCCAAAAGGTGTTCTTTGCAAGTGAAAATAATTCACTTCAACTCAGGAAGCGATTCCTGAGTTTGATTGTTTTCAAAAGATACGTGTACTTAGTGATATGTTTGTAATTTAATAATCTAAACACTGGTGATGGATAGTCGAAGGTAAAGAACTCTGAGTGCTCCCAAAAGTCGGCTTTACCACAAGCGATGAAAGGGTGTTCCTTACTGGAATTGTAAAGTGTTATGGCAATTATTTCAGAGATTTCAAGGTGGAATTGTTCATGACACTGAGTTTTGCAATATCGCATGAAATAAATGGATTGATGTCTTGCACATAAACAGGACACTCTGTACTCGCCTATTATTCGCATTCTCTTATGAAGAGAAGAATTTGGTAATCGCGTATTTCACAAAATTTCAGCGAAATAATGCTCCATCAGATTGGTTTCATTTTTAGAATCACCTTAGAGCTGACTTTCATTTTCTTCTTAGATACGCTTTCCTAAAGTGTCAGCAAGAACCTCTTTGTTTTGCTGAAGAAAAGCTATTTAGAGTTACCTTAGTGTTTCATTGTACACGAAGGATTTACATGTATACACTCACTTTGCCGATGAAATATTCACATAAGCTTGTTCCCTGACATTAAACTAAAATGACTCTAATGAAACACATCAATGACATTATGCAACAAAGTCATATTGCCTTAGCACTAATGATTTGAAACTGCTTGAGTAAAGGGCTCCTAAAATAGTTCGTTTTAAAGGAAAAGACAGGTCCATACATGAGAGAAATGCTGCTACCCCCCCCCCCACTTAAAGTTGGTATTCCTTGAGGAGAAAAATTTGAGCTATGCGTTTGCCACCAGGTGTTGTTGTCATTTGTTGTTGTTTTTTTTTTTTTGCGATTTATCGAATGACTTTTTTTTCAACAAGTTTTTCGAAGATTTGACTTTCAACTTTTCTTTTTAGTTTCAAATTTAAATGTGTTTTTCCTTCAAATTCGACTCTTTTCTCATTCATATTTTTTTTAGTCTCGCGATGCTCGTTAAATATCTCTAATGGGTATCAACTCTCGTTTAAGTTCTTGGAAGCGAATAAATTTACGTGTTCACGAAAAAAATATTGGAATGACATCACGAACAATAAAAAAAATCAAAAAAAACTTGCTGATACAATATAACCATAAAACCGACAGAAATAAACATAGGAAAGATGTCAAGATTGCATCAAAGTCTAGTTTCTCTTAAATCTTATCACAGAAACTTAGTACTTTCCACGTTTTTTCCTCACTGATTCCACTGATAAGATGAGTCACCAAATGAAAGATTATCTGGAAAGATTTTCAGCTGTTGAAATGTTCTCATCGATAGCAATGAAAATCACCAACAAACCAAACATGGTTTTACTCGACTTGATTGAATCAGTTTTGAATTACATCTTATACAAGAAAACGTCGCCTTTCTACATTAGCCGTCAAGGTACATAAGATTTTCGTGGCCCTCTGACGAGGCAAGTCCTCTAAAAGGCAAATAAACTAATAAAATGCTACATATGAGATGAACAGATATATATGCATGCAAGATGCACATCATGATAATTTGTAATCTCCTCTATGATTGCTTCGTTTTGCTTTTTTTGATGGACACCTCTTAAAAGTCACAACTTAAAAAAAACAATAACAACAATTCGAAAAAGGGTGAAGAAAAATAAAGAGAAAAAAAAGACAAAACAAGAAGTAAATAGTTACATCATATGTTAACTTTGACACCCATACCATGCTTTACTAATATAATTTACGTCATCTTATTTAATGGAGAGACAACGGAAATCATTCCGATTTTTAATTTTTTTTTTTCAATTTTTGTTTGAACTCACCCTTTTCGCATAGATTCTCACTGGATTACGAAAGCATATAAAAGTGTTTTTGCAATATTTTGGAGTTCGACCCAGTGAACGACGATTTTGAATTTTATTCCGGTTTTACTCAAGATCAAAAACCCTAACAAGGTATTGCGTGTTTAAACATCATTTTGGATTTATTTTTTCTAAACCTTTATGTGTGAGATAAATTAATCGGTTTTCGAATAAATCTTTTGCTAAAAGAATCTGAATTGAAGGCTGTCCCGATCATATTTTAATCTCTCACAACAAGTCGCCGCTTTCCCAGAAAGTGTGAACGAAATTAAACCAAAAACTTCCTCTGCTCTTCTACTTGAATTGGCCTATATATAGCTATTTATGAGTGAGATCGTTGGTTTACAGATGAACAACAGTAAAATGCAACTTTTTCAAAGAATTGTTCGTCATGAATAATTATTTACAATCTCTTTCTGTACAGAAACAGGTAAATTCGAAATATTGTATTTCTGTACGAGCTAATAAATCAAAGCCCACCGCAGCATTTCTCAAGCAAGAGTTTCTCTAAAAGTTTCAGATGCGCACAAAATTGATTTGATTTTTGTTTCCGTTCTCGTTCTAAAGCCTGAGGCGAATCGATTGTGTGAGTAGAAAGCAAATTATCTTTCGCGTAAACGCTTGGAGGCGGCGCAATCGCATTTCCTCTCTCAATCAAGATACCGAAATAAATTCAAGTGCAGCCAACATTTCAGCGCGTTTTTGCAGAGCTTTGGTATTAAATGCACTAATAGTCAGAGCTTCGATCCATTTCAGAAAACAAAAACTCCGCGTATTAGAGGTAAGTTATAAGACATTTTGATCAATTTTTTTATACAAAATTGAGAGTTTTCTTATAAAATCCGTCGCCTTCGTAAAACTCAAACGCAATATTTAAATCAGTGAATTTTGGACTCGCGTGTTTACCAAGTGAAAGGAAATAACCGATTGCGAACACGTCCCCCGCTGCTAAAGAGTAAACGAAAGAAGGTGAATAAAAATTAATTCCCTTTTATTTGGGAATAATAAAAAGAACAATCAATGTGTTGAAATACAGACTTTCATCCTACTGGAGTAGAATAGAAGTTTTGACAACATCAGTTGAACACATAAGCCGACGCAATAAAATCAATTCCTGTAGACATTGTTGATTTTCTTTTTATGTTTACAACACCTTAACACCCCAAAATCAATCATTTAAAACATGGTAAATTTTTAAAGATTGGCCATAAAATTAATGATAGAAATAGACAACCATCTCAACTTTGCATTGGCTTTGATGTCTGTGTTTTGGTCATCAGTTCTGTGTCGCATCGAAAAATGAGTCGTGTCTTTATCTCAGTTCCTGTGTTTAGCCACTTATTCCCATTTTTTTCTTCGTCTCTCTTCGAAAAATAAATCGTATTTTCCAATACCCCTTGGTCGGAGGGGAAATTCGAAGGTAATATACTTCATAAGGTTAATTTATGAACCGAGATAAATTAAAATTTAAGAAAGCTGCCGGAAACAGTTAAAAATCAATATCTTTGGGCAGTATTTCATTGAGCCTGGCAAAATTGATCCGCATTAAAACGAACAGAGGCAAAGAGAGGACAAGTGAGGAGGTGAGACATGGATCGGACTTCTGCGTTCATCAAAGGTATTATTTCAATTCAACACTGAATAATAAAATACATGTGTTAAGGATAATACAATTCTATCCTGGAAGTGACCTATTGCAAAATTGGTCATCAGTTTATCGTTGGCGTTTAAGTGAAAAAAAAAATGGCTGTTTTTAATGAATACATCAAACGAATCGTGAGGATTTCGAGCTACAAATGTATATCTCATTTCTTAAACAGAAGTCTCGCTTTCCAGTCACGTTTTTTTCGTATTCTAATCGAAAACCACCAACAGCTTCCATCTCCGTTTCTGTTTTCTTATGCGGTCCTCATTTGAACCGATTGAACGACAAAAATAGGAGTCTTTAACCTATTAAATTCATCGCTGTGGGTTGCCAAAGGAAAAGACTGGATTTCTCTCCTCTGAGCAAAACAGCAGGTGGGCAGATACTAAATTCTATGAGAAACGCACTAAAAAAAAAAGAAGGGAGCGAAAACAGGAGCAGCTGTGTTTTGCCGCGTTTTACGCTCTTAGCCTGTTGAGGAAGATCAAGTGGGTGTTCTGGGTACACTGTAGTTACTTATACCTTGGCCTGCTGTTCTCCAAGGAAAAAGATCAGCGAGATTAAGTCAGGTAATTCGTATCAGTCATATAAGCAAGTTTCTTCTCGCGAGTAACAATCAAGAAAATATGGAGAGAAAAAAATAGGAAATTCCTACCAGTTTACAATTTTTCAAATTAAAATCTTTAAGTCTTCATTTCTAAGTGAACCAGCGTTACTGTCTCAAACCATAAGTCATAAGCGATGTAAATCTTTCACTCGTCTTGTGTCTAAAATGATTCATATAGAAGCATTTATTTTTAGACAAATACTGTGGTAGGAAATGAAGAATAAAACGTGATAAATTGGCTCTGCGGCCCTTACCAATTGGCTGACCACCGCGCGTAAATATATATATATATATATGTATATATATTGTGCGAGGAAAAAGACAAGTAAACCACAAGTTCATCCCTACAAGCCTGTTTCGTGGTCGCCCACTCATCAGGGGTGGGCGACCACGAAAACAGGCTTGTGGGGATGAACTTGTAGTTTACTTGTCTTTTTCCTCGCACAATATATACTTCGCTCTACTTCTATGTATTGAGCACTGTTCTACGAAAATCAAGTCACACTTTATATATGTATATATATAGGCAAAAGAGAGGTGGCCGGCGGAACACCTTACTCTCTCTAAACGTTTCGGTATTTATGCAAGAACTGTAAGTTGACGACCGTAGCAGCTTGCAGTAATCTATAACCGAAGAGGTTCCTAAGTGATAGCTGACTGCATTTTACTCACAACAAAATAAAGAATGCAATTATCAGTTTTAATTTTTTTACTAGTGGCAACTAAACATCCCTCCTAAGAGATTCAACACAGGATTTCTTTTTCACGGATCAGATTAGTCTCGCAGTTAAATGACATCTCTTAAAAACTGGCCAGTGCAAACTTCTCGTTCACTTTGAAAATTAAGACGTAAAAACGTGAAAAAAGAACTTCTTTAAAACAAGCTCAAATGCCTGCGTTTTTAACAAAATCTCGAGTCTTTATTTGAATGATCGGAGGTAAGTCCAATTACCCGGGTTTTTTTTTTTTTTTTTTTCATTTATTTTTTGGTGGACGTTAAGCTCTCTAAAAAGATGCTATCAACATAAAATAGACAAAAATCCCGCGATGATTACCGATAAATTTGCTTTAAAAGTCTCTTTTCTCGACTTAATTCAGGAAGAGTACTAATTTTTTTGTATTGTAGTACAAATATCAGCGACATTATACGAAGAAATTCAACAAAAAGTTTACTAACAGCTTAAAATTATTAAAACAAATCGTACGCAAAGCGAATAAAATTCCTTAATCTTACCTGCCAGCTTAACGGTAAAAAGAGCAATTCTAGGCCAGAACGACCTGGTTGAAAGGCCTTCAAGAAAGCTTATCCCTTTACTGAATTTTAACTTCAGTTGCCATCGACTTACAGAATAGAAAAAAGTGACACATACTGTTCCATACAATGTAATCTTCAATTTTTTTTATTGCAAAGTCTAATTTCCACAGAACAAAGGGAAATCATTTAATTTGAAAGTAAAAGCCATCATTTATTTTACTGCGTTTAATCAAATAAGCGTTTTTTACTTAATTGCACTAAAATCTTTCATCTCGCTTAAACTTCTAAAACGAATTCTGAATCATTAGATATTTTTTTTATTTTTTGTAAGTTTCCAATTTGACTGTAAAGAAATTAATCACTCTGTCTCAAATCCGAAAATTCAATAACCTTCCTAAAGACAGACATTTCCCCTACATTAACTAGAGTAATGCGACGACAGAAAATTTCAATAATTATAATTCGTAACATTATTTATAGCTTCGTGTACCACTGAATGCAAATCACTATTGACGCAATAGGCGATTATGATTTGTATAAAAAGGAAGACATTTTTTGAGGACGTTTCATGTAAACATGTATACTGAAATCACTTGTTCATCGTTAGCTGACTTGTTCAGCATTTTCCCTTGAGCTAAATATTTGTTAACAGAAACTAATATCTATTTTACAAGTACGCACTATTAAATGACTTTCACTTAGTCTGTAGTGATTGCAGTATACAATTTCTATTCCATTTGTAATCTGAAGAAATAAAAACAAAAACGAGAAAGAATTTCCGCCGCTTTTAGTCGTTATGTCTGATGCAGGATGCGTTTGCAGGATGCGTTTGCAGGTGATTTGTAAACATTTCGACGAGGAAGTCGTTGAATGCTCGTTTTCCTTTTGATGCAAGAAGATAGTTTTTCGCACTGTTACTTTCGAAAACATTATTAGTCCATGTTTTGAGTTCAGGAGTAACATTTCATCATGTAATCGAAGAGTCATGGAGGACTTTCTCTACGAACGTGATTGCATAATACAACAACGTAAGCGGTAATACAAGAGAAAAGGGGAAAGTTCGTTTAAAGGTCCAATATCATGTTATAAGCTAAGTTTGGTCATTATGAGCCTTATGAACTATTAAAGTATTGAATTGGTTAATCGTTATTGCTTATTAATCGTTCCCAACTTTTGACTGATTTTTGACTGGTTATATTTAAAAGTAAAGGAAAGGCTGCCTGGTTTTACTGATGTTTCACTTTCACAGCAGTGGTTGTCAAGGAAGTTGTTTCTTTCTTCTATAGCAACGCCGACTTTTGCATCCTTATGAGCCACTCAGCCGATTATAGTTTTAATTAGTTTTCGGAAGATAAGATAAGAAAATGTGTTCCTTTGTGTATGATTTTGATTGGGTAAGGAAAGTTATCCTTGGATAGAGAAGGAAGATCTCTTGGATACTTGATTCATGAAGGAGACTCTACTTCCTGTGAGAAGAAAACAGTTTTTTCTCTTGTTAATTGATAAACTGTATTAGCAGTTATACTCATAATTTTGGCCACAAGAATTGCCGAGCTCAAAACTTACCATCATACTTATTCTATATACAAGAACTACTGTTTTGCCACTGTATCGTTTGCCCTCATGAACATTTTTGAAACAGAAGAACAAGTCTTCACCATTTTTATTAAACAGTTGAGGCGATACTGTTTGCTACCATCATAACGTAGCAGCAGCGAGTAAGGAGAAAGGGGGGGGTCTGGGGAGGGAAACTAGCATAAATGTATTTTAAGACCACTGACTGAGTCAAAAGTATTATTGTATTTATCTTATTACTTTCTTCTCGGGAGGAGTTTTGCTAAGATGGCACGTACATATTTAACTTGATTTGGAAGCGAGGTGATTAATAAGGAAGGCTTTAAGGCTATAAGTCTGAAAGGTCAAACCTCCTTTTGTTTTGGGTGCCTTTATCTTGCAAAAGAACTGGTGGACATTTAAAGAGACACTATTAAAGATTGATTATATACTTCGTAAAGTTGCATTCATAGCCATATATTCGAAACACGGCAAAAGCAAGTACATCGCAATAGTTAGTCTTCGGAAGAAAAAAATTTTTCAACTTGGGTGTCGCATTATCTCTAATCAACATATTGGACTTTATATAACCGAAAGGCATAATCATTTCAAGAAAAAAAAAAAAAAAACAGAAAAAACTCTAACAAGTCTTACTCCGAGGAGAATGGTCAGTTATTTTTATTATTATTCTTTTTTAATCAAGTTATATTTCCATAGTTTTTCTTCTCTTTTGTCTCGGTAGTGATCAATTTAGTAGCATTTAGAAACATATGTTATCAATTGTTTTCGTTTTACAAAATTATAAAAATGCATTTGCAATGCAAATGAAAGACTTATTTAGATAGGCCAAGGATGCAAATCGCAGTGTTGAACACAAGAGAAAACATTTTTTGCTTTTAGGCTGCTGCTAACACGAAGAGTGTACCAAGACAACCGTGATCGAGGTACTGTATTACGCAACCCGGTTTTTTCCTAGCATGTATTCTTTTCGAGGATATACTGCTGTCAGATTGATGAAAACGACCCTTGTCTGTCTCGTCTGTTCAATTTGCGGTGGAAAGATCAAATAGGTTAAAAGCATATGGTACAGAGGAAAAGAAAAGTGGCGAAAACAGTGTAGTTAGATCCTTTTGATTTTCATATCCCTGAAAAGACGTCGTTCTCAAAAATGTTCCACAAACATCGTGTAAAATTTGCCATTTTTGTCAATTTCTTTTTTGCATACCATATGGAATGAATATCTTAAGAATTGCTGATTAGTTAGTTCGACAAAGTGCGACATTCAGATGATTTGAGTCAATCAGGTTTACACGAGTCATACTAGTTTACGAAAAGGATTGAAGAAATATACCATAAAATATAAGGATTAGACTTGGTGAAAAATATGCAGGCATCATTTCAATCTTGCAGTTTAAGTAGCAATTATGTTAAGTAGCGTCGACTAAAAACGCTTCTGTTTTTAGCTCCAGCTATTATGTAATTCTATGTGTTGGAGCAATTTCGTTGTTGTTCTGTAATATTCTCTACAGGTCTGAAAAGACGCTAAAAAAGGAGAATACGCTATTGCTTTCGAAGAGCCGTTGTTCTAATTTCTTATACGTCCACGCTTTAAATTAAAACTGGCTTTTTAAAATTCATATAAATTGAAGAAAGTTTTGAAAAAAAGTTTGGATCACCCACGTAATTAATAACATCGTCTGAAAGACGACCTTAGGGTGTAGACGTATCAATATAAGTGTGGAAGTGTAGCCTAACCATATATCCCGAAAACATGCAGTTTTAGCTGTTTAAGTTTGGGTCACCCACAAAGTTAATGGCATTTTATGAAAAGGCAACCTTAGGGTGTAGACGTATTAATATGAGTGCGAAAGTCTAGTCTAACTATATATCTCAAAACCAGTTTTATCTGTACTGAATTTGGATCACCCACATGGTTAATGGCACCAACTGAATAGATGACGTCAGAGTGTAGATCATACGCTTCCTCCGCAAGATTTTGTCTCCGTCATCTTACGATCCACTTTTATAAGCAAACCAGTTGGTAGTAATCACTGCTTAATAAGACGGTGCGAGTGTCTCGAAATTATTTAATATTGGTATTATTTCTTTTAACAGGAAAAGAAAAACCGAAAGAAATGAAATTATCGAGAGGAATTTGCCTATGACCTTTAAACTATTCCACCGTAAACGAGTCAGCACCTCGAAAGGTATAACTCTTACTTGCCAGGGTCTATCTGTAGAACGGAACCTAAATCTGACGATTAATAGCTTATCATGTCTAACTGGTCAGTACATGGAAATATTTCACAAAATTCAACCAGTCTTGCTGCTTCTGATTTCCATTTGGTGCGGATATTACAGCTGTTTTTCTACTCCGCTATAATCGCCGTAGGCTCCATCGGAAATGCGTTGATCTGCCTCGCAATCCTCAGTCGCAAAAAGAGAAAAACAAGTGAATATTTCATCCTCAACCTGGCAACAACTGATTTATTAACCAGCATTGTCAGCATTCCATTGGATATTATCGAACGCTTAGCCGGTTATTGGCCATATGGCTCGTTTCTTTGTAAGCTAGTGTATCCTCTTCAGACAATTCTAATATCTGTGTCCGTGGCAACGCTATTGGCAATGAGCTTGGAACGACATCGAGCCATAATGCATCCGCTAAAGCCACGGATGAAGGGAAGAAAGCCTATCTTCATTATTTGCATCATATGGGTCGGGAGCACATTACTTGTGTCTCCTTATATTTACGTACTCGGTTTCAATTCAGGAAGCTGTGTCGAGAACTGGCCAGGAGTAAAATACGTGAAAGCATACACGATGTCTGTTTTTGTTGTACTATACGTTTGTCCACTCTTTGGTATAACTGTTGCTTATGTTCAGATCGGAAGAAGGCTTTACAGAGACATTAAGACTCTCCAGGTTGTTATGGCTGATACCGAGGGAGGTATGACTGGGCGACAAATGCTTAAAACGCGGGCTCACCGTAACCTACGCATCGTGAAAATCTTCGTGGCGGCTGTCGTTGCGTTTGCAGTATGCATGTTGCCAAATCACGTGATGTGGGTGTGGAATGACTTTGGGAGTGGTTCAGACTTCGTGCACTTTTACGACCTGCTGGCTTTTACAAATATCTTGGTATACGCCAACAGCTGTATTAACCCCTTCATATTTGGGACACTGCAGACCAGATGCACCAGCTGTAAAGAGTTTCTAAGAGGTTCCCAAGACAGAGATGATAGCAGTGGGTATCGGAGAATGTTCTCTATGCGAGTCTCATTTACCAGTTCCTCCAGGCTAAGGACGTTTCTTCGAGGGACGCTGCGAGGTCCACGCTCGAGTCACTTGATTCTTTCAAGCCGCAGGGGAACTCTCCCCACTACAAGAGTGACGTTAAAAGAACTCCAGCCGCTTGATGATAAAACAGATGCAGAGAGCAATCTTTAACTATTTTACCTTAAAATAGACCAAAAAGAAATTTCTCGATTCTCTTTTTCATCATCGAGCTTAAAACTCACGATCTTTCTCATTCTATCAAGTCATACGAGGCTTTTGACATTGCCGTTTCTATCAATGTGCAGTACTTGGGTCAAAAGGTAAATAAACCCAAGTATGGCCCAACTTACTAAAGAGGCTCTATGGCTTAGTGGTAGAGCATCGCAGCACAGAATCTGAGTTTCTAAAGTTTGATTTCTCATGGGGACTCAGAATTGTTTCTCTGTAGCATGCTTGAGAAGAAAATCTTCCTTTTATTTATGTAATTTCTTCCAACAGAATACCAGACTGGTGAAGAGAACACAAAAGATATTGACCAGTTGTTTATTACTTTATCAAAATTGCTAGGGAAGTCTTTGCATTAGTTCAAGTTTCACCTTTAAGTTTGAAATATAATAGAAATGATAATGATGATAATATTATACTGAAATGTAGGCTTTGTTTGCTTGGGTTGAAAATCATTTATTAAAGAATAAGATATTGTAGCGCTTGACTAAGCTTCTGCTAAAAGAGTAATTTGTGTGATTTTAGTAATATTTAATCCTTCGCACCGTAACATCATCAGGCACATTGTTGATACTGTTCTCAATACTTTTCCTACGGTGATGACAGGAAGAATTTATTCAACGATGAAGAACTTCTATAGCTGATGATCATTTACTTTACCGTAATGATTCGATTTAGCGCCTTCTTCCAATAAGCGCCCCCTTCGAATGTGTTTTTGTCAATATGCGCCCCTATTCCATTAACGCCCCTATTCCATCAACGCCCCCATTCTAATAAGCACCCCGGCCCCGTTCTGATAATTGACACAAGTGACACTGAAGTCAACGATGTTGAATAGATAAACTCATGGACATTTACCGTACCTTACATGTATATTTGTTACTGCAAAAATAAACAATTCTTTTAAAAGTAACTGAACTTTCAACGATCGATCTCTTACTGTTACAGTTTCTGGTATTGTTAGTTATCCTAATCTTTAATAAAGCTTTGTTTTGACTATTTGGTTGTTTCGCAAGAAATTCAATAAGCGCCCTGTCCCTAGAAAGTGCCCTGTCTCGAATAAGCGCACTCCCTTGAGGTTCCAAAAGTGAATAAGTGCCCCGGGCGCTAAATCGAATCATCACGGTATCTCGTGAACTTAACGTGTGATTCAGGGATGATATTGTAAAGAAAAATAACATGCTAGTCTCTCAAAGAGGTAAAAGGGTTATTAATGAGTTAAATTTAAACAGACAACTCTCATAGTATACCTCGACATTTATATGATACATTGCGATAGTGAATAACGGGAAGAATATATTTGATTTATGCAGCTGTATATAAGAATGAGTCATGTACAAGTATTTAGAACAATTCGTTTGCATAACTTTTGTTGTTAGTTAGATTTCATAGTTGAAGGCGCCAAGAATGTTTTCAAATATACATTGTTACTGGTTTACCAATTCAGTTTCCACAGATAATCGAAGTTTTTCCAGGCCGCTGATGAAAACAGATTTATTCGGTATGACACTGCACCATGGGGCTCAGATGTCCGACTCGATTTTCAACAGATATTCATCATAGAAACTGTTGTGTTTTAGAAGGATTTCCATCCCTAAGAATAACTATAACTGTATTCATATAAAGTCAATTTTCGCATGTCTTTGATATTGCCACCCGCTGCTTAGACGTCATTCCCTTTTCGTGCCACTCTGTTAGATTGATTAACTATTAAAGTCGACTTGTCAATTAAAAAAAGGACAATGGTATTCAGGGATTTCATCAATTTCAGAAGCAGGCGTACATTAGGACATAAGTAGACGGAATACAGTTCAGCGGTAATCGAGGCAGATTTGTCACCAGTCTTTTTCTTCTGTCTATTTAACATGGTGCGCAGCGAACCGATCGTGCTGTTGAATGAATTGTAAGAGCCCGTTGCAAAAATCACCCAACAACCAAAGAGGAGAGAAAATATCAACAAAGAACACCTTTACAGATGACTCCCTTTAGAATATATTAAATGTTTTCCAAAAAACACGGGAGGTGGAATTCGCTGGCTGCCGGCTTCTAATGAAATCCCCGGTATTTACGGAATAAACAAAGTAAAACATAGTTGCATGTTGAATGTCTCTCCGAGTGTTCAACTTAATACTATCTTACTCGTTCATGAACTGCCATGATATCTGCGGGCAGCCGTGTATTATTCTCTATTTAGTTTATTTTTTTCCTTACACATAGGGCAATTATTTTACGGCATACAGAGCTGGTTTCTCTTTACTCCTTAAATTGCATGACATTCTAGATCCATATAAATTAGTAATTATGAGGGTGGAATAGTAGGGAATCTTTTTCACATGCAAATGATACGAAATGAAGCTAACAGAAACTTGCTCACTAGCGCCAGAAATAAAGTTGCATTGCATTTTTATTCGTGCTTTTTTTTTATGTTTTTTTTTTTTAATTTCTTGGTTTTCTTTCCGTTGTGGTTTTTTTCTTTTTTTTTTTTTTTTTGCTCTCCTTTTTCTCGCCCAAACCCTTACTATTGCTGATGAAATAAGAGATGTCAGTTCGGATTGCAAATGGCTCCCGAGCCATTTGATATATTTGATATCACTCTAAATCGTGACACAAACTACTGTACCTTCATTTATGACATGAAAACGAAGAATAAACACATCCGTTACACTACACATCTTTTGGATCAGCTTCGCGAAGTGCATACGACATCTCACAGTCATGGCCATCTAATGTACCATTTATGCATTGGTCATATAGTTTCGGGAAAACGTCCGGAAAAAACCTTTCCCTGTTATATTTTATCAATTTCCTCCAAACATCCCGATTAAATTGTATATGAAGCCGAAGTCGAGACGGCTTCAATTCGCAGAAAACCTCTTTAATCTCTAAGAAGGGCTGGAGAAACTGTGATGAAGAATTTCGTGAATTTTCCCCGTTATGTTTCATTTGAAATTTCCCTAAAACCTTTCGATTAAAAGTTTGAGTAGTCAGGCTAAATTCAAGACAGCAGACATTAGCAGAAATCCCCTTTCATCGACGATAAAAGCTAACGGACTGTACTGAGGAATTTCTCTTAAGTTGATTATAGTTAATGAAAAAAATAGACTTTAAGATTTTTTTATTTCTAGGTATTTTATTTTCGCTTTGAAGATTCTTAATTGCATTATTTCGCCAGAGCGATCGACGTCCGTACAATTATTGGCACAATTCCCGCTAGTGACCGACTAGATAATTGAAAAAGCAGGAAATATCAAATGTCGTTTTGTTTGTCGAAAAGTGGCTTTAATTGATTCCTTCTCGACGAAAGTCGAGTGCACGTCACCTGCTTCTGTTTCTACAAATTTGTGTTTTTCATACATGATCAAAGTCGTACGTCAATTAAATGACAGCAGATGCACTATTAATTTTTGTCAAATTGCAGGCTGTTGACACTACTTGAAGTCTTCTTAGCTTCCTGTTTTGGGAAAAAAAATAAAGTTTCTATTAAACCAAGGTCATGGTGGCGCTTTTGTATATAAAATAGTGTTTATAGCCTTTTATTTTCCTGGTTTCCGATTTGCACTTCTAGAGCCTGCACCTAATTCTAAAACTGCGACTGGCAGGGCCTTCACCCGCATGCCATTCTAAATTGTCGTTTAATGCGAAGACGTTAGTCCCTTCTTGTTTTAGGATAAAATAAAGTATCTATTGAACCAAGGTAGTGGTAGCGCTTTCGTAAATAAAATAGTGTCAAAAAAACTTTTTCTCATTTCCTATTTGCACCTCTAGAACCTGCACACTGCACCTAATTGTAAAACTGAGACTGGGAAGGCTTTCACCTGCATGTCATTCTTAATTGTCGTTTAATGCAAAGACATCAGTCCGTTTACACATGCATCATAGATGGCCTGTTTATGCTAATTTACAAGGCAAATCTCTTGAAATTGGTCTCGCACTAACGGATCACGCTGAAACCACCCACACGCACACAACGTATTGTAGTCTTCAACACAGAAATCAACTTTGGGCGGCGAGGTTTGTTTCTAAAAGAGGTAAGCGATATACATTTTACTTAAAGAAAGTGCAGCGATTCAACGCCTTGAGCTTATGGAAGGTAAAAATCTGTCGGGCTGAGTCACCATCACCTAAATTTGGTAAGTTCGGCAGACAGTATACAACACAAGGGAAAATTCGCACGTCCAACGTAGAAGATTGTCAGTATTCTTTTATTTTCCTTTCTTTTCTAGCATTCTTTCGAGCTATCATTGACCGGTGATGATATTGTAGACAACATAGTGCAGATCTATTAGGGACCCTTAGCAGTCAGGAAGGCAACGCCAAAGACGTCGTGTAGAATTTTGCAAATGTCTGCATGTTTTTATGGACTTTTACGGCGCCACACCTCAATTTCAGCAAAAAAATTTGGGAGCAACGTTTAGTTCTACTGAAAAATCACATAATTACCGTTCCCAGATCACACAGTTTCTGGCGATTTTACATTGTCGTTTTGCACGAGCAAGTAAGTGCACGAACTGACCTATTGTTTTCCCCATCAGATATCTTTCGCTTTGTCATGTCCTCGTTGCCGTCGCCGTCGTGGTTTACTTAAGGTCCCGATTGATATCTCATTCAGGAATTGATCTTAAGATTATTAAGATATTAAGATGGCACATTAGAGATTGCAACGAATAGAACAGTGCGTGCTAAGAAAGAATCTCTTACGAAAAAGATCTTCAGCTAATTCATTTCAGACAAGGCGGGGGAAAGTGGAAACCCGTGATGTAATAACAATTTCTTATCATCAATATAGCACTCAGTTAAGTTAAAAACATTAAAAAAAAAAAAATTAAAAAACATTTTAAAAAATTTAAGTTACTGTGTTTTCAAATGGGAGAAAAAGCCCTTTTCAAGTAAATCAAGTAAGATTTGCATAGATCTTCCCATTATTTAATGCAAGTGGTTTAAGCTACAATTTCCAAAATGTCTGACATCCGTAGCCGATTACAAGTAAAGCCAGTTTGAAGGGACATTGAAGCTTTGTACAGATTGTCCCTTGCATTACATCAGACAGCAAATTGCTATAAGTCGCTCTGCCTTAAAAATACCAAGAGATATGTTCAAAGTTGTTCTTTTTTTCGCTTTTTTTCCCATAAATAAGGTCCACAGAACTTAAATCGCTCAATATCTGGTATGGAACTTGTCCTAACCACTATCTTTGTTTTTATCCGACTGTAATCCGCTGACCAATGCATGCGGGAGCAAAATGTCGTCGATTTCTGGCGATGGTTTCGAGCGTTAGCCCTTCGTCGCCTATTTGCTCCGACCAGGGGCTAACGCTCGAAACGTCAGCTTTTGTAATCGTTACGGTGGCCAATTTACTTTTTCAACTTTGTTGATATATCCAACTTATCACGATAGTTTATTCAGGCGATTAAGAGCGAAAAAAAAATGCTAGCGTCGAAATGCTGGACATTTCAAGAGACTCAAAAGCGATTTTGCACGAAAATTTCCCAAAATTTCAAAAGTGAACTAGGTAAGGCAAACAGCCTGTTCCCTTGGTCAAAATTTTTGAAACTCACACAAAACGTTTAACTTCCGCACTGTAACTTGAACACAGTTTTGAAGGTTTGCTTAGAATCACATTGTAAAACATTCAGTACTCCTAAATCATAGAAGTGTATAAACTCAAGCAATTGAATAAAGGCTGATAGTTTCGAAAGAAACTGTTTGGGGCTGCGTCGGTGGGGGTAACGAAATAATTTGGATATATCAACAAAGTTGAAATACGTATGATGCACGATCCTTAGCAGTAGTTAGCGCTATTTATGAAATAGCGAAAATCAGACCTGAAAAAAATCAGGCCTGTACGGGATTCGAACCACTGACCTCTGCGATACTAGTGCAGCGCTCTACCAATTGAGCTAACAAGCCAACTGGGAGCAGGCCGTTAAGTTGATTCGTAATAAACACGTGATGACCTCCAAACATCCCGATTAAATTNATCAACAAAGTTGAAAAAGTAAATTGGCCACC